TACACAATATATATATATATATATATATATATATATATATACACATATATACACACACACATAATTTAAGAGCAATAAGGAACCTGTTGGTCCATTTAGGTCATCTCAACCACAAAAATAAACTCTAAAACAGAAATAAAATACTCAAAGCCAACCCTTATAATAATAATATTTGTAACCTAATTCATGCTAATTATATCTTTTTGTAACTTTAATCCTTATATACAATACCTATCATGTATAATAAATTATTTCTGCATGTTTCATTAAACTGAAGTTAATAATAGCATAGCCTACACTGTAACAAGTCAATGTGATCTAGGAGTAACTAAGTTTTTCTACTTTTGTTTTTGCACCTTAATGAGAAGGCCAAACTTGGGAACATTTAATGCTTATCTTTGCAACATATAAACAATTTCACTTATCTTTAAATAATTTCATAACATAGTCATACAAAGAAAATTACTGTTAATATTGCAGTTAATTTACTAACTGTTGTTGGGGTTTTCTGTGTATTTTACAAAGTGATTTTATCCAATTTGTTTAGGCCAGTCCATTACACTGAATGTTGTAACAGAAGAAAACATTATTACTGAATTTGATGCAATATGTGGACCACATTAGTAATGAATGGTATATAAACAAGTCAGTAATTTGAGTTACAACTTCTGAATCGGGACAATGATATTCTCTGTTAAATAGTCAATATTAAGCATAATTGTTATAATGCCTTTTTTGAACTTGTTAAACTGAACAACTGGCTTGACAAAATAGAAATCATCATCTCCCCCCCCCCTTAGAGCTAACAAAATTCAAAAGTTAGGCTATATTCAAGATGCTACAAGGAAAAAAATAATATTGAAATGTCTTCAACGGTGCACGGGTTTTCTTAAAAAATTTATTATGTTTGAGTGGTTCACTTAGGTCTTGCTATTATAAAGATATGAACAAGTATGTAAACTAAATAGAGAAATATGTTTCAGAATACATGAAAAATAAAAACAACTTGACCTTCTTGAAATGTAAAACATTCAGAACCTTAATTTTCTAGAAAATAAAAAAACTTTCAAGTTTTCATTTTAAAAAAATATACATATTTATAGTGATACTAATTGTGTACTGATTTTAATAACCAGAAAAAAACAGTATAATATAATGGTTGTACTGTGGCCCCATTATAGGAAGTCGTAACTTATGCAAGTTAATTTATAATTGTGTAGTTTGGTATTATGATCTGTTTTTATGACATTTGTCATCTGTTTACCTTATAAAGTTGTCAGTTTGTGAAGGTTTTCTTATCTAGTAACTTTTTTGTTGTTGTTTTAAAGAAGTATTTAAGGTTTATAAGTGTCTTAGATAAGATTGTTTTTAGTTATATGTTATATATGTTATATGTTTTATCTATGTTTATATATATAT